GAATACAGTAGGACCGGTAAAAGTAGGGTCATTGAAATCACAATTACATTTGAGACCTTCTTATGATGAACTATTGAAAGAAACATTAGTAGGAGATGAGAACCGTCCATCAATTGAAAATGTAATAGACAGAAAAGCAACCAGACACAGATTAAATCAATACGGTAGTCAGTTTGATAATAAAGATGCTTTGGATATTCAGAAGAAACAAGAACTGAACAGAAGAGAAGAAGTTATGAAAGAAGCGTCGTCGGACGGTGGTAGTGTAAGAGCTAAACTTGATGACACACTGAAACAACAGCAGTCTTTCATTAATGAAAGATTGGCGGAAGCAAACAAACAGAAAGAAGAACTTGCTGAAAAAATGAGACTTTGGAGAGAACAACACGATGAAATGGCAAGTGCTGTGTCAAAACAATCAATACCAGAAGGTGTAGAAATTCATTCAATGGTGTCCGCTGATGAAATGCCAGAATTAGAACCGTTAACTAAACAAGAGGAAGGGGAAGAGGAAGAAGAAGAAGAAGACGACCCTGTAGTTGAAGTAGAAGCATTGAAAAAAGGTAAGGATGATGACGATGACGCGCAAACAACCATTACTAATGCTGAGATAATGGAAATGCAAGAACAATCAATCGAAATAGAATTAAAAAATGTTGAAAATGAAGAAGTTGATGACGAACGAATTTTCAAAAATTATTTAAGTGGTATAAAGTGGATGTGGCCGGTATATTTAGCAAAAAATCCAAGAAGTTTAATGGATAGTATAATTTCAAAACTACATCAATTCAATGTAATTAACGCTGTTAAATATGATGAGTTCAAAGAATTATTAGATGAATATAACAATACAACAGGAGTAGATAGAAACGCAGTGAAGGTTAAACTACAAAAATATTATGAGGACAATGTTTATAATAAATACTTCGTCCATAAAGCAACCCAACAATAAATAATCTATAATATTTAATATGACTGATAAATATTATGGATTAAGACGACGCCCTACATTTGATGAAATGCTGAAAGAAGCGATGACACACAGATTAAAAATTGAAATTATCCCTGAAAGACAGACATTTGACAAATCAATTAATAATATAGACTTTGATGATTTTGATCTTTCAAAATACGATAGGAGACTACGATTGAATGCTAGGGTTCAAACTGATAAACAAGTTCTTCAACATGAATTGTTCCCTGATATGTTTGATGAAGTAGCACCAACATCACAGTTATATGAAAACAACGAGGCAGACGCACAAACAACACGATATGTAGCAAAAGATTTTGCTGATGAAATTTATAGCAATGCAATTTCAGGACCAAAAGATGAACCAAAAGATGAACCAAAAGATGAAAAAGATGAAAAGCAGGAAGATTTACAAAGTCTTCATTTAACGTCATCATCGTCAGCATCAACCGTGAAAGAGGAAGAGAAGAAAGAGGAAAGCCGAGAAATAAAGTCATTAAGAAACATATTTTTAGGTGGAGAAGACAAGAGTGTGTTTGAATTATTCAAACGAGAAAAGAAGTCATCCTCACCGTCCATTCAATCCGAAGAACAAGAAGAACAACCAAGGGCATCATTCTGGACAAGACGACAGGTAGAAGCAAGAAGCAGAAGTCACTCACCAGAAGAAAGAGCAAGAGGCAGACAATGGGGTATACGACAAATGGAAACGAGAAGCAGAAGTCGGTCACCTGAAGAAATAGCAAGAGGTAGTGAATGGACGAGGGAACAAATGGAAACAAGAAGCAGGAGCAGAAGCCCAGAAAGCGCTGACACAAAAAGTAGCAGAGGCAAGAAGAAAAAATAAAACTACTTAAAGAAATGACCCCTTAATATATTAAGAAAAAAATGAATAAGTGTATCAGAGAAGAATTGACAAAAGAAATTGTAAAATGCCGTGGTTGTAAGATATACAACAACAAAGTCAAAAAAGCAAATGACATATTTCCTGACTGTATCATTGATAATATTTTGAGTTTTGTATGTTGTAAAAGATGCACCATTACAAAACATTTAATGAAAAACGAACCTGACAATTTAAAAGAAATGGATAAGTGGATTTGGTATATGACGAGGTTAAATAAATGTCCGACGAAAAAGTCATTACGGACAATATTTACAACAGGTTTAGACAAAACCTTAAAATAGTATGGATATGATAATAGGTTAATCTTGTATTATGAAACCGCTACTCAATTTCATTATAATTTACTTTTTAATCATGATGACGCGTATGTATCTTGTAGAGATTTTAGCATCTCGATGTGTAGGGATTTTCTTAAAATGTTGAAATGGCAATATATAAAAAACAAAGACAAGGTCGTTTATAAAAACATTTTTGATAATGAGTTTTACCATAAATTTGTCTGTCATTTGTTAGAAAAGAAAAGGTTGATTCTAGACTGGTTTAATTATAGAGATTAAGATTAAGTTTATTCATATTAACTTATAATATGATTAAACACTTGAAACCCCAGAAAGCCTTAAAATTGTCTGAAACCCGAACCTTGAAAATGTCAATATCTTAGACTGTTTCATAATGAAAAAATTGTAAAAACATGTTGAGAAATTTTAGGAAAATTCCCCAAAACCCCTATTTGTGTTTTGAACAAAATGGTTTGCTTGTTTAATTTCTTCCCTGAACCCTGAAGCCCTGAACTGAAAATACCCTACCCCAGACCCCCTATTTTAACTATTTTTTCCCCCCCCCCCCCCCAGTTCCCTGTTGAGATCATTTATTTCCCCCCTTTTCCTTCTAAGGCCTTTTCCCACCCTCAGTTCTTCTCCCTTTTCCTCCCAAAGATCTTTCCCCCCCTTTCCTCCCTAAGTCCTTTTCCCTGAGTTCGTCTCCCTTTGCCTCCCTAAGATCTTTTTCCCCCTTTCCCGCTAAGATCCTTTCCCCCGTTTCCCCCCTAAGGCCTTTTCCCCCCAAGATCTCCACCCTTCTCTTCCCAAAGTCTTTTTCCCCCTTTCCCGTTTGAGATCCTGTCCCCCCATTGCCCCTTAGGGCCTGTTCCCCCCGAGAAAGATTTCCCTTTTCCTCCCAAAGATCTTTTCCCCCCTTTCCCCCTTAAGGCATTTTTTCCCCAGATCTTCTCCCTGTCCTCCCTGAGATCTTTCCCCCCCCTTTCGCTGTTGAGATCCTTTCCCCCTTTCCCCCCTTCATTTCCTTCACCAGCATGGGCAACATCCCCAGCATCACTTGCATCATCCGCATCCTTGGCAGGCGCTGATGCGGATGATGCAGGTGATGCTGGCGATGTGCCGCTGGAGCTGCTAAGGATGCGAAAGCGCACCCGTGGGGAATCGAACACCCCAATGTTTTTGACAAACTGAGTTGCGCAAGCCCGCACAATGAACAGATTTAGAAATGGTGCCCCTGGGGAGGGGTTAGGGGAGGGGTAACAGGTAAAGAGGTAAGGAGCATTTTTTGTGTCCAACACGCCGGTTGTCGGCGGATTTTGATGTTTTTCCTCCCTTTGGACCCTGGAAAACAAAACCAACAAAACTCGAGGACATGTTCATGTTATTTTCATTCTATTTTCATGGTGGGTTCATTTTGCCGCTCTTCTTCCATTCCGGGACCCTGGAAAGCAAACAATGCAAGACACCTCGATGACACTTTCATTTTGTTTTGATTTTTGTTCATTTTGACACTTTTCCTCCATTTTGGCACCTTGAATAAAAGGACGATAACAACATGAAAACACAGATGACATCAACATGAACAAACAATCATCTTGGAGATTCAAACCTGTGCCTTGTCCTCATGCCGACGTGGCAAGCTGTTTGTATTGCAAGACTGATCTTCGGCAGGGAGTGTTTCACATTTCATGAGCCAAGACGGTATTGCGTTTGAACATGACCATACTTCTTGTTTTGCAGCTGCGCCTTGGCGCGGTGCTTGCTTTTCAAGTGCTTCCGGCAATGTGTTTCATGTGTTGGGTAACATCCTGAGTTGCATGAGACGAGGCAAAGGTTTTGTGCGCAGGTTGCTTGTGCATTTGTCTGTGTATGTGTGCGCATGTCAAGCTTTTGTGCTTGATCACCGCCATTCCGGGCTGCCATGGCCAACTTGGCTGCCAGATTGACGCGCAGCATGCGCTACGGCATCGAGGATTTTACACATCAGGAAGAGGGCAAGCCGAAGATGCAGAAGTACCGGGATGGTAACTTGTGGCCCATAGTGGCGCAGTTGCAAGTGCATTCGGAAGATCCACGCATTGAGTTCTAGGACAATCACGTTTGCCCTTATTTTTCCTATGCAACCTCAATTGCGGTTCGTCGTCCATGTGTTGACGGGCTGGGCAAATCTGGGCAATATGTTCGTTCAGGGGACAGCTTAAAAGAAGGGCAAGAATAAGGCGCCATGGCCGCTGCATGCAGTTATGCGTGGTATTGAGTTGACATGGGACATTACGATTCGGAGGACAGCGCCACGAGCGAGCGTCCATTCTGACGCGACCGCGCCAACCAAACCATTTGTCGAGGAGGGGTCTACGTTGCTCTCAATATGGTGGTGCCCCTATATAAGCATTTTAAGCTCAATGTTGTCAAAGCTCTCCACAAAGCCTTAGGTGCGCGCAGGTCTTTTGAAACAGGCGGTGAGTTGGGCGTGCGGCATTTGCAGAACCAATGTTTCGGATGCCGCGCAGCAGGCAAACCAGAGACCAACTGTTATTGCAACAATCATGCCTGCCAACATGTTCTCTACAAGTGTTTAAATCCGGTATTTCAGTCTGGTTTTTTTCTTTGTGTTTGTGTGTGTGTGTGTTGCTGTTGACTTTCATGTGACTCGTGATTTCTGAGTGCACCATTCTTTTTTGTGGTGCATGTGGGTCTAGGGACATTCTCGTCACTTTCGGCTCGTAGATATGCTGTGTTTGAGCTCAGGGATCCTTTTTAGACAGGTTCTTCTGAGCAAACCCCATGGACCAAAACAGAACGGCCGTTTTTCCGATGAATGCACCAGCCAGGGCACCAGTTTTGAGCAGTGAGCTGGACGGTCCAAACCGCGTTCCGCCATGACAGCGGCGATGCCGGTTGCTGGAAAGGCCTGGGAGCTGGGTTTTTGGACTGAGCCCTTTGTGGGATCGTTTTAAGCAACGCGGACACCGACCAACTTGAAGATTCCTGTTTCAAGGAACCCACTCATGGTGGGAAACTGGGCGGAATACTGGCCCGGGGTTCGATGCCCCATTAACATGTTCTTTTGCTTGTTGAAAGGGAAACCAAAAGGACACCAACCGCCCATTTTCTGGCTTCTCTTGTTCTGACGCACGAATCTGGCTGATGATTTTGTGTGTGGCGGCAACCTGAACGGAGCACACTAGTGGCTCCCGGACGTTTTGCGCTAGAGGAAACAAAAGACTACTGAAACACCAAGAATGCAGAGGGGTTGTATCAAACAGTTTGGGTGTCATCTTTGTATTTTTCTAGTGTTCCGAATAAAGAATCAATCCGAACGTGCATCAATCCGAACGTGTCTCGTTCAGTCTTTGTCGCTCTACACAAGTGTGAATCAAAACAAGCACGGGAGAACTTGGTGAGAGAGTCACGAAGGTCTCTGCTCCAGCCACTGACTTTGTTGCTTTGGGGTCCAGTTCTTGTGGCCGGCTTTGTGTTTCTGCATTTTGCTCGCACGCAGCAGTTCGACTCTCCTATCCTTGGCATGCCTTTTCATTTTGTTCTTGGATCTGTTTGAGTGGTGGGCTGCAAAGAGCATGTTTGTTTCTTGACATACTAAGGTTGGCAGTTCGCCGCTTTGCAGATAAAACACTGAGCAAATCTAGTCCAGGTCCACGGAATGGGTTTTGAACGCCAGCATCCGAACGGCCTTGCACGAAGTATCTTAAACCATGAGGGCCAGAATCAAACCCCGGGTAGATGCAGGTTGATAAGGGACAATCCCAACCATAAATAGCTGCGGCCGCCTTCTTAATTCTTTACATAGTTTTGGGTAGACCATTTTAATACCGGGTTTGGATTATGACTCATTTCGACTTGGGAAACCATCCGCTTCCCTCGCTCTTGATTGAGGTGCATTGCACACATACCACTCTCTTGAGTCGATCGAGCTCAGGACAACTCTAGCGGCCCTTCGCTTCCACGCAAGCTCAGCAACTCGCGGAGCGACCAGGCGAGTCGGCTGCGGGTGAACTGAACCTGGAGATCACTTGGGGAGTGCTTTCCTCCTTTTCATTTGCAGAGTTCTTCTTGGATTTGTTAATAGAGGCCACCTCGGACCTTCCATGTCCCTGGGACCTTCCATGTCCCATTTTGAAAGCCCGTTTGAAGCGCGGTCAGAATTTACGGAAAAGGAAGGTAGTTTACACTTGGACATCCATATAGCTCAAGGTGCTTGAAACTATGAACAACGATAGGGGACTCAAAAAAACAATACTTTTTTGTTATAGACCAAACGCTGGAAAATGATATGGGACTCTCTAAATTCGAACGTACTTGTGTGAACAACAATTTTTGACGGAACTTCATTTGGCTCAAGATGCAGGGCTTCCTCTTTAGTTGCAGTCCTCTTGGTCCGACCAGAGCATTGATTGCGACGTCATGATCTGATCTGAGTAAGATTATGCTAACACGTGCAGGGGTCAGAACTTGCGACGCAACGGTTATTTATATCAGCTGCATGACATGACAAATGCTTAAACTCAAACACATGTGGAGCAACACCCCTGTGTAGGTCTTTGAGGGTTCTAGATTCTATATGAAGCGTAGCTTGTATGTAGCTTATCCTCTTGCACAATGAGTGCGTCGGTTGAATCAGATTCACGCAAAGCAACGCCCCAACACCCGAACCTAGACTTCTTAGAGACTCAATCCGCTTGTTACCACGTGCTCGAATTAGTCATAGCCAAGCGCTAGGGCAGAGACGGCGGCTGCTTAATGTGCGGCTCGGACAAAGCTAGCCAATACTTCTTGAGAGCTTCTAAGACATGCGCTGGCAGCTTGCCTGCAGAGGGTGACATACTCAACCTGGACAATTCCCTAAACATACACACCTAACCTAAACCCTAAACCTTATCCCTAAACCTGAACCCTAAACCTGAACCCTAAGCCTGAACCCTAAACCTGAACCCTAAACCTAAACCCCAAACTTAAACCCCAAACTTAAACCCTAAACCCACACCCTAAACCTAAACCCCAAACCTAGTCTCTAAACCTGCACCCTAAACCTGAACCCTAAACCTAAACCCCCAAACTTGAACTCTAAACCCAAAATCCAAGCCCTGAAGCTGAACCCTAAACCAAAACGCTGGGCAGGACAAGGGCGGATTCAGGGTGACGGCAACCCACGGGGGCTGTGGGTACTGGTAGCCTGACGCAAGGCCGGTATATCGCACTACCGCTTAAACAGCGCCTGCTAGATGTGCACTTCTCCGACAACTTGGAGAACCCAGCCATTGGAGCGATACGAGGAGTGATACGTTTCAGATTGTGGCGCGAGTGCCCCATCGAGAAAGGAGACCCTTTCTTCGATTTGTACTTGCGCTTTGCGACTTTGGGGCCACCTCGGAACCCGCGAACAGCGGGGTCCCACTTCCAACAATCCCCATGTCTTAGCCGCTCAGGGCGGCTGGTCGCTGCTGGTGAAAAGCTGCTGCGGCGGGGTGTCCGGGTGCATGGCCAAGACCGCTGTGGCTCCCCTGAGTCGCACCGACGCTCAGCAAGCGATATGGCCATGGATTTGAAAAAAATAGGCGGTACGCATTGTGCCATATTCCTCGCAATATAGCCGAAGGATGCTACTGGCGGTTGTGCTAGCCAAGTAATATCTCAGTTGTTCGGTGGCAATCTTTTGTTGTTTCGTAGATTCATCACAAATACATGGAATCCTCTTGCTATAGGGTTGCCACTAAACCCCAGAAAGGCTTCCCTTTTCCTATCAGACTCACGGGTATTGGACCTTGATCGAGGTGATCCAGATGCAGTTGCACTCGACTCATCACACTGGGAACATGCGGAGCACTTTGCTGAGCATTTACCGGGAAGGCGGCATACTGTCCTTCTGGCGAGGCGAGGGAGGGTTGTGCGTGGAGCATCCACGTTTTTGGGTCGACAAGGCTTGTTGTTTTCACCCAACAAAGAGTGAGGGCGCCAGTGTTGGAAACAAGACACATGAATGGATGGAAGCATTGCCACGCTCTCATTCTGTAGAATATTCTCGATGTTCCCAATTCGCCGAATTCCCCGCTAGCCCGCAAAGCAAGCTCAGATCAATAACTCCGGCAACATTTGACATTTGTTGTGCGGTAAAAGTTGTTATATTGGGATTGGCTGGTGGAGGCGGCAACAAACATGCTGGTATGCTGGTAGGGGGTTGCCCCCCAATCTTCAAATCGGAGTCAGCTTGCAGTTGCAGTTGTAATCAAGAAAGCCTGGCTTTGAGACACCGGGTGCTGTGCAATTGCTGGGACGCCAGGGTAGGGCAGGCGCATCTGGGATTTTCGTTGCTGGTTGGATCATTTTCACACCTGCCTTGGCTTGATCTGTTCAGGAAGCCCCTCACCCGGACAGCAATGCCCGTGAAGATTCTCCTGCGCACAAGCACACCATCCTGCTGTTTTGGACATGTGCAACAGTAACAGCAGCAACAATGACAATCATATTCACAGCAACCACAACCCCAACCAGAATCCGAGCCGCAATCACAACCACAATCCCAGCCGCGATCCCAACCACGAAAACCACAATCACAAGTCACAAGCACAATTTCATCCACACTTACAACTACAGCAGCAACAACAACAGCACCAGCAACAGCAAGAGCAAGAGCAAGCACAACGACAGCAAAAGGGTGCAAGAACAGGCGACGCCACCTTGACATGCTCTTGGAGTCAGGGACGTGTGGCTTTTCAAACTCACACATTTGATCAGAAGCTCTTTGGCTTTTAATTTTGAATTTTGTTCGTTTCGATCTGTTTGTGTCAGGGCCGGTTGGCGCGACACGACCAAATCGTCTCGGCAATTTTATCGCTCCAACGCGCTTCTTTTTGCGAGGCAACGGGGCGATGCTTTGCCACCGGGGCGTGGTGAACTGCATCAACTTCCCGGTGAACGACCTCTGCAAGCAGCAGCTGCAGCAGCTCCTGAGCAAGAAATGAAGTCAATAATGGCACGTGGGGTGGTCCAAACACGGAATCTGGAGAAGTCATTTGAAGATGAAAGTGGACTTTGAGGGGGCTTCAGAATGCAGGGTTCATGTGACTGGCACTTGTTTTTGAATCACTGATTTGTATTTTGGGTTTGCTTGAAAATGTGAACGCCATGTTGTTCTCTAGAGTCGTGCCACATACATCACCGTCCCCAAAGGCACTCTGGGGATGGTGCAAGAGGTGTGCAGCTAGGCGCCCAGAAAAACACATCTTCAAGCAGGTTGTGTACACGTCTCTTTGCCCTCACAAAACCGTGTGGTCCAACGGCTTGCCGTGTCACTCCATCATTTAGGAAGGTTTCCAGATATCATGTACACGGCCTGCGGTCCACCGAAGCTTCTTGAGCTTTTCCTTGTGCTATTCGTGGCTTTATTTGTGCCATGGACAAACCACCTCGGAATTTTGGAGAACACGCTCCTGACAAACTCATGATGGCCAACGCATTTGACGTTTGAGACGTTTCCCCCCCCCCCCCCCCCGTGGAATTGCATCTCTTCAGCCATACGCGGGATTGCTGCCTTGGTTCTTCGCCTTGGTTCTGCGGACTGCCTGGGATTCCTTGAGAGGTTTTTGGGCGGAGAACCTGTAAATTGAAGCAACAAAGCCTTGGGTAAGATAAGGCATTGGCAAGTATCTTCCGCAAGAGCCTGTAAGAAAAGCTATTCAATACAATTTCACAAGCTTGATGGGGAAACATTTGACGGGAATGAGCTATTGGCTCCTTGTGGGCTGGCGAACAGTTCCCGACATCGGCAAATATTTTTATACATACATACGCTTGTACGTACGATCGTACGTACATTCTATGTAAAGTAATGCAATGTACTCTACTGTATTGTACTGTATTGCGATGTAATGTAATGCAAGTTACATATTCTTGCATGTATGTGCATGTATTCATGTACGCACGTATGCGCGTATGCACGTATGCATGTGTGCATGCATACATGGTGTGCATGTATCTAATTATACATCTATTTCTGTATCTATCTATCTATCTATCTATCTATCCATCCATCTATCTATCTATCTATTTACCTGTTAATGTATCTATTGCCAAAAAGTAGATTGGTCCCGGGACTATTTGTCCATCCACCCACCACCCCACCCATCCATCCATGCATTCATCCATCCATCCATCCCACCCCACCCGACCCCACCCCACCCCATCCCATCCCACCCCAACCCATCCCATCCCATCCCATCTCATCCCATCCCATCCCATCCCATCCCATCCCTTCCATCCATCCATCCATCCATCCATGCATCCATCCATCCATCCATCCATCCATCCATCCATCCATCCATCCATCCAGCCATCCATCCATCCATCCATCCATCCATCCATCCATCCATCCATCCCGCCCGCGGCGGACATGCGAGGCCGGCGCCCGGGTCAGCAAAATAACATAACATAACGCAATTTAACATGACATACTATAACATATCAGAACACAACAAAGCATAATATACCATACCATGACATCACACAGCACATATCAACAAAATATGACACGACATCAAATAACATAACATGAAAGGCTAGTACATAATATAGCACAACATATAGTTGTGTCTGTGTTGTGTATGCTATGTATGGTATGTATGGTATGCATATTACATATGTGATGAGCGTGACGTGTGGTATATATACTATACATGCTATGTATGGTATGCATCTTATGTATGTTATATATATATATATATAGGTGTTGCGATATGTTTGTTATGTATGTTGGGTGTGTATTCTGATGCCATGCAATTTAATGCAATGTCTCCCCCTCAAGGAAACCTGAGGATTCCTTCATTCCAGTTGCATCCCACGTCCCCCTTTCTGCAGGAGGCTGGGACGGGAGGCAGAGGGTCGGCGGATTATAGGATCATAGCGCAGTAAGGTTATACTATGTCATGCAATGTGTTATGACACGCTATGGTACGTTACGCTGCGATATGCTGGGTCATGTAGTGTTATGTTACGGCATGTATGGTGTGTCATGAATGGTTTATGTGGTATGTATATTATGCATGCTACGTTTGTTGTCTATATTGTGTTTGTTTGTATCATAACATACCATGACACAACATTGCAGACAGACAGGACAGACAGGACCGGACAAGACAGAAGACCAGACCGACGGATGGAAGGACGGACAGACAGACAGAGATCCATCCAATCCGTCGTCCGTTCATCCATCCATGCACGCATGCAAGAGACATTGAGCCGCTTCAAGGGGTTGGCTTTCGGGCCGGTTGCGTGTGGGTTGGCTAGTCCACTACCAGGCACTAGAAAAAACCTCTTTGAGTTGTCCTTTTCGGCTTAGTTTTCTTTGTCTTTAAAGGGGATTGGTTTCGTTGCCGAGGCAGGACCGCGAGCTGCGGAACGCCTGCAGCGCGCTGGCCGCGGCCCTGACCGGCACCGCCGCGGGCCACCCCTTGGACGTCATCAAGACGCGGCTCTCCGCGTCGAAGCGCCGCGCGGCGAAAGAGAAACGCGCGACGCAGGTTTTAAGCGTAGGGATTGGCAGACGCGAACGGCTTAGGTGCCATGGGCTTGCCAGGAAAGTGCAAGGGAACCAAGGTGACTGGAAACGGATTATTGGATGGTTTTAAATTGAAACAACTAGATATCCGAAATGGTTTTAGATTAAAAGCTAGATCTCGCAAACCGGCATTTCTTGGGGTGCGGCACCTGATTCACCATTCGCCTCTGCGCTCGTTTTGCATCAGCCCAGGATTTGGGTACGTCGGAATCTGGCAGACCGCTCAAAGGATGTACTCTGAGGAAGGCTTGCGCAGCTTTGTGGCCGCTTGGGCCGCAAGCTCCAGCACTGAAAGAGTGCTTGGCGCTTTGTGTTGACGCGAAGTAAAGGGGTGTCCTGAAGTTCAGTTTTGTTTCGGTTTTTGAATGCAGGCCAACAGGAACCAGCTTGTTTGTTGTGATCCCCTGTATTCAGAGGCACCCCCATGGAAATGTCCATTAGAGGTTCGGGTCTGGGAACGAAAGGTTCATGGCTATTTGAAGCCCTACATAGAGCCTTATTCGATGCGTATTGTGGGCGTATGAGCACCCATAGATGTCTAAGTCATTCCCAGGTCCAGCCAAACCAGCTGGCGCTCTTGTCAAGATTTGGGTCTGTCTGTTTCTGCGGGTAATTACCTGTTTGAGATTGTTTCAAAGGCTACCAGGATAACACTCTTCATTGTGGAGTTCCCCGCCACGAGACGCCGCCCATTTGGCCCTGCTCCCCAACAGATCGGACTACTTATTCCGATGCTCTGGGGCGACATGCAACGGATCAGTCCGCCAGGACCAGCTTCTCATTGTAAGTTTTTCAAGTGGATGAAGAACAAGGCATAGTGTACTGTTTCTTTCACTCACAGTAATTTCTGTCATGGCTATGCTCGGGAATTCGGTAGTTTGTTATTTCTCACAGAGTTGACAGTCGGATGCAGCTGTTTTCCAGGGGGTTTGAATCCACCGATTTCTGAGCCACTTGGCCAGCAAGCTGCAGAAGGAAGGAGTGAGAGAAGGAGTATAGTTAGGATCAAGAGATGGAGTAGGAGTAAGTGTACCCACAACTTAAACGGTTTCTAACACAAATATGATATGAGATGAGAGCGCTCTTCTATAGCTCTCGCGCACGAAGGAAGGGAGAGAGACAGAGAGAGAGAGAGAGAGGCAGAGCAGATAATTTCATCTCTTCCTCATCTCGCTCCACATCCTCCTTTCTCCATCTCTGTGACTCACGATGGAAAGGAGTGGATGCGAGAGAGAGAGAGAGAGGAATGAGCATGTCCTGTCTACATCTTCTCCCAAATGAGGACATGCTTACTAACTCCTTCCCTTGTATTCGCTTACTCATAAAGACTCCAGAAGTAACTCAAGAATAGAGGAGTGGCATGTCATCTCTTTGCTGATGGACAGATATTGGATGAGTACAATGTACACCTCACAATAATTCTATCCAAGGTTCCTAAGGTGAAAGAATCTACAAATGTAGATTAATAAACGCATTACAAAATTGAAATGTAATGTGTATTCCTTACCAATCTTCACCAATATAAACTATTTGAATCTGAAGAATGATGATTGGAGGAATGACTCCCTCTCTCTCTCTCTCTCTCTCTCTCTCTCTCTCTCCCTCTCTCTCTCTCTCTTTTTTGTCTCTCTCTCTCTCTCTCTTTGTCCTACCCTCGCCTCCAAGATGCTTCCGGAGCGACCCAAGTGAGCGAGTAGAAGTAAAGAGGCGAGGGGCCATCACTTTCTTGCTTCAGCCAATCAGAAGCTCTATAAACGGAAGAAGATAGCGATGGATGGAGAGGACGGGTTGTTCATGAACAGGCTACGACTATTAAAAGCTATTCCTCCACCAACCCACTCTCCGTTCCATTTGTTTCCTCATTACACGTCAGGACCTATTTAATGGTGAAGCGGGCTAACAGATAGATCTTAAATGCCTTACCTCTCACAGCTCGTATGCCTCATCTATAAATCTGGAATTAGCCAGCGGTGGAAGGTAAAGATGAATGGGAAATAGAAATGCTTAGGTGAGAGTGAATGCATTTCCCATTTCCTTCATTCTCCATTCCTTCGTCTCGCTTCTCTTCTTTGTTTTTTCTGGAAGCTAGGGCAGGGATTACCTTGTGGACGAAGAAATCTCTCAGATGTTTCCCTTTACATGTTGTCAGACGCACTTTTCGTAAGATCCAGCGCAGTTTGCTGAAAAGCTGCTCTAAACAGCACATAATGACTTGAACACCAATGAAAATATGAGCAAGGCCAAGAACAGGTTGCTTCCAGAAACTTCGCCAGGCAACCATCATCTGAGCCAACTCTCATGGTTTTTGCCCAGAATGAGGAGCCCGTCTGAATGTGCAAGACACAACAGCAGATTGCTGCTGTAGTGAATATACTTTCAAGCACATCTGGTCAGGCTCGCGGCGCCATCATTGTATGGAACAATGCACAGTGCCTCACTGCGAAAAGCCAATCGCAGATGTCTCCACCACTGCCTAGGTCCGCCTGAAGCACTTTTCGTCCTCGTCACCACGTGCTCGAATTAGTCATAGCCAAGCGCAGCTCGGCTAGTCGAACGGCAGAGACGGCGGCTGCTTAATGTGCCGTTCGGACAAAGCTAGCCGATACTTCTAGAGCTTCTAAGCCATGACCTACACCCTAAGCCTACACCCTAAGCCTATACCCTAAACCATTCCCTAAACCTAATCTGGAAACCTACACACTAAACCTGAACCCTAAACTTAAACCCCAAACCTAAACTCCAAACTTAAGCCCGAAATCTACACCCCAAACCTAATCCTTACACCTAAACCCTAAACTAAACCTAAACCTAAACCCTAAACCAACACCCTGGGCAGGACAAGGGTGGATTTGGGGGTGACGGCAACCCTCAGAACTGTGGGTAAAAGTAGGAGTAGGGAAGCAGAAGAAGAAGAAGAAAAAGAAGAAGAAGAAGAACAAGAAGAAGAAGAAGCAGAAGAAGAGTAGGAAAAGGAAAAGGAAAAGGAAAAGGCAAAGGAAAAGGCAAAGGAAAAGGAAAAGGCAAAGGAAAAGGAAAAGGAAAGGGAAAAGGAAAAGGAAAAGGAAAAGGATCAGTTGTGAGAATAGGAGTAGGAGCAACAAAAGGCAAAGGAGCTTTCTGAGCAGAGGCGAGTGAAAGACGGTAAGTTCTGATGGCTTAAGCCCGCTCTGTCCCATTTTATCCGAGTCTCTCGAGCGAGGCGGGGTTTCGCGTTTCCCTGGCGGCGGTGGGGCCCAGCGTGGCCGCCTGCTTCTACCTGAAGGACCGGTTCAGCGCCAGCCACGTGGTGCACCAGCTCTCCACCAGGCCAACGCGCGACATGTTGCGACGAGAAAGATAGGAGTTCCTGAAGGCCGGATCAAGTACGTGTTTTTTTTTTTCTTCATCGGGTGATGTTGAAGATTTTCTTTTGGTTGCCTATTCAAAGTGACGTGTCTTTGGGTGGTTGGTGGACGTAGATCCACGTGTAAAAGATGTCCACAAAGGCTCTTCATGCTAGGTTTAAGCGAGGGCACCTCTTATTGCCTTGCAGTTGTATCGCTGTGTAGAAACGGAGCGCACAAAGGTTTGGTTGAGGGCATCTTTGCTGCCCTCAATATCTGTGGTGTGAGGAGTATTGGACAAAACCGTGAAGTCGTGATAGCTGGAGACTGCTTGTGGGCGAATTAAATCGATGCCCCCTCGCATTAGGGAAGTGTCAGAGAAAGTGACGCGCAAAACCGGGAGGCCAAGTACAGTGCAGGGTCATGCTGGTGATGCCAGTGCTATCAATGCAGTCGATGTGCTTGCACCACCCGCATGACGGACGCTTACAGGAAGCTGTGGCCTTTCAACCTTTCCAGAGAGAAGATGCGAGTGTCACGTGCCCCAGTGTCAGCATCATCAAAGTTGTCAACTCGTCCCCACCCAACCAATTCCATAGTTAACGTTTGGTTTTGGCGTTATTTCGAGTGCGTGGTGACTTTCAAATTCACATGGTGCTGGGTGAAACTTGCTGCCTGACAGGCCAACACCAATGAAACAGAATGGAAAACAAAAGGAAACGCAAACGATTTCAAGTCCCCAATTCAAGCACCTTGCCACGCAGTCATTGGTGTTGCCACTGACACTGCAGCATGCTGGCAAGACGAAGGTGGGGTATGTGGGGGAGACTGAGCTGAGGTTAGTTTGCAGTTGCTGCTTTTCTGGGCACATACTTTTCACTGGCCTTATTATTTTATCATGATCAAAAGTCACCCCCTAAGTGATGGGTCAAAGGGAAACAACCCCATTTTCTGACTTTGATAACTTCTAGAAACGATCACACATTATGACCCCAGTTTCAGTTTTCCCAAACGGGAATCAATATCTCCACAGAAATAAAGGCACCCGTGTTTAAGAGCAAGGCCTGTGAAGAGCCCACAAGCTCACGGGGTTGGATGTAAAGCGAGTTATTGGAACTCGAGCTCGACAAAAAAGTGAAACACAGAACTTTTCCGAGGTTGCAACAGAACAGCAATCTCAGGATGTGAAAGTGAGAGGGAAGCCCTCTTGAAGATATTGCAGAGCTTTGCGTAGTATCCACAATTCTGTGGGTCATTTGGGCATCGCCAGAGTGGTTCTGAAAGAATAAGGATGCGCCAATTTTGACCGTTTGTTTCCTAGCTTGGGAGCGGCAGCCCAAACAGCTGCAAGCATGGTTTGGTGCACAGCCTCCTTTGGAAGACCAGTTTCGTTTTCAAAAGGATTGTTTTGGGCTGCTGTGCGGCCAGGTTTGCAAGGTAAAACAGAACTCTTGAGGTCATTTGGACTGAGAAAGGAAACAGAAACCCACTCCTTTGGGTCTCAGATCGCGCGGCTGGCTCAGCGAGAGCTCGATAGCTGGCGGTGCGGCTGGCTGCGTCACATCCTTCGCCTTCTTCCCTTTGGACTGCAAAGTTTCGGGGGGTAGCCGGCTGGTCTCAGGCATTTGAACCAGGATGGCATGCGTGATAGAATTTATGCGGTGCCAGAGCGGTGAGTGTGAAAATTGGAATGCGTAGGCAAATGGGCAGGGAGATGTGATCTCTCGTACGCCTCTGCTGAAACGGTGACAGTTGGATGCCAGGAGCGATCTTGTGCTTTTTCCTCCCCTCCAAAGGGTTTCAACAGTCTGCTGATCAATGAGGGATTCGGGATCTTCCGGACCAGACTCGTTTTCTTGCGGATTCCCAGCCCGATGTTCCGAATTTTTGAATGGCAGGGAGAACCATATCGATTGACACAACCATGAAGCCCTTTGAGGATCTCTTTTAACATTTCAACATGGCGCTCAGCTGCAAAAGCTGGCGTAAATTCTGAACCTCTCATATCGCTTGAGGTAGGCAGCACCACAGCTTTCAGTTTCGCAAGCATGTTCCCAAAGGCGCCGAAGTGAAGGTAATATCCATCTGCCGCACTGGCCCTCCGCGCACACACCTTTGATTCTGCCTACATGTTTCAGTCTTGAACAAAGCAGGGCCCTTTTGACCTTCTTTGTCAGAGCTCACTTGCAGCATCTGGCAGTATAGCTGATAGCATTGGAAGCCCATGAAGCCAACAGTACCAGACGCTTGCATCAAGCAAGGGCAGCCAGAATCCTGGGCCTGGGAATGCAGGAGGAATCAACCCAAGTTGCGCCCTTTGAGCAAAATCACAAAAGAGCCTTCAAGTTATGGGGTGCCAGGACTCATGGAAGAGGCAACTGCAGATGTCCGTGGTGGCAGCTGGTGGGCCACTTGACTGTGAAAGGAATGTGTTCGAATGCGAGGATCTCAGCAGAAGTGGAAGCTGCGTTAGCGATATCGACCTCTCTGTGAACAAATCCCCTTGCTTCTTCTTCTTCTTCTTCTTTTTCTTCGGGGGGCGGGCGGCTCTTGAGTCCAATCCAGCCATCAAACAGGACTTCCCTGAGTATAATTCCGGGTGGTGAGTGATTGGGTCTCAACATCAGGCACAACATGCAGCAAGAGGCATGCCTGCAACCGGCAAACAAGCTGAGCCCGGGAAGTCCAAAAACAAACGGGGTTGAAGCAAACATTCTCACAAGGTGGGCAGGATTATGTCGAGCACATCATATGACCAGCGTGCCTTTGTAATCCAAAATCGCGCCGCTGCAAGAAGGAAAGCAGAGCTCCGGTCCGTATCCCGGCTCAGGCTACCCGGCCAAAAAACATTCGTGCCATTTTTGTCCCCAGCATCGCTCCGCCTCGGTTGAGTGCTTTTGCGTCTTCCGTCCCCGGCTCCCCTCCCCGGTTCCGTTCAGCCACGGTTCGTCCACCTCCATCTCCCCAGCGTCAAGCATCCACCACTTCCATCAACTAACCCAAGCATCAGAGATGCTTTTGGGAAAAATGTTTCGCAGTTGCTTCCGGTTTTTTTTGACTCAGAGGAGACATTAGGAACCCGCACCACAAAGACTGGTACGAAGGGATCCAAGAACCTGGAAATTGTAACTCCTTGTGAATGCGCCTTAGACAGTTCTGCTTGGCAGAACCTGACCAAGCTGGCACTGCGCCAGCATTGGGTGAAAGTAGATTGCACAACCTCGCAACTTGGGTTTTGGCCTCCCCACACACAAGGGAAAAAACCGGCCATTTACTTTCAACCAACTGGCCAACACCTCTCTGTGTGCAAGGCGTGCTCGCTTGGCGGCAGTGCCATTGCCTCTTGGCGTTGTGCAGATCGTTTGGCATGGGAAGTTCCTGGGATGACTTTGGTGGGGATTTGTTTATCTTTTGCTTATTGATTGATAAGTCAATAGTATCCTACAGGTGTGAGCACGTGCCAGCTGCATTCCGCTTAAAGCCCAATCAACTCTTGAAGACATGGCCCGCGGACACAGCCCCAGATCCAGAAGAATGGACACATCAGAGCCCCCTCATCTTCCGTGAAAATACTTATCCTTGGCCGTAGAGAGCTGTGTTTCTCGGGCTGACGCGAGATGTCATTTTGCTGCGATGGCTTTGCCGCTGTGGTTGCCTTCCGCCTTGATGCACGCTAATTGGTGCTAGTTGGCGCTAACTAGCTTTGGCCAAGCTGACAACAAGCCCCCATTGCGAACCTGTCGCTTTGGATGAACATTTCAGGAGCCGTTTGGTTGTTCGCCTCACTTTCATGGCAGCGTCAAGCTGGAACACATGCAGAGACTATACCTCCAAAACCTCTTTTGCCAGGTACTAAAAGGGCTCAAACCTTCTGAAGCGAGCGACGAGAACCATTGGCTTCCCTTGCCCTGCCTCATTCGACCCCGAGCAAAGGCAGTGGGTGCCCCATTTTGAGACATACTTGTGCAGTCCGGAGTCCGGACCATTCTCTCCACCAGCTCAATGCGCGTTTGTAGCTCCAGCTTTTATGCCAAAGGATTTACATTTTTCAGCTGATCGAGCACGCGCTCACATAATTTTCCAGAGCCTTCATTTATGGCTTTTGCGCCTGGGTGTGTCTGAAATAGGGGGACTGTTAGAACGGGGTGGTTTTTGAGTTGCCTTGAACAAGACACCAGTTCCTTGTTTTCAGCCTCAGGACAAAATTACCAAACAAATCCCCCTCCCCCATGTGGGCATATCCCATTGAACTCGTGTGAGAAGCGTTTTTGCGCTTCATTTTTTGCATGGAAGCGCAAGCAACAAACGCTTGCCCAGAGTGGCTTTGTTCCGCGTGGCACTTCCAGTTCTCACACTGCAGCCGAGAAATCAGCCGCAACGCTGAGTGCACTGACAGCACACATCGAGCCGGGGCTGGCTGTCAACTTGCCTCACCGAGAAGATTTTTGCGACATGTTTCACCGCATCTTTCAGCATGTCCCAGGCCTTGACAACCACCAAATTTTGAGTCCTTTGGGGCATTTTTTTCCACCCTTTCGAAGCGCCTGGACCTCGAAGCTTGTGACAGGAAGAGGGATCTCTGTTCTTGGGGGAGGCTCTTGCTGAGATTTTCAGGCAGGGTGCGGCCCTGCTGGATGCCTACCGGGGCTTGCTGCCAGAGCTGATCAAAGTGGGCTGCAATACGGCCATCATGTTCGGCATCTCGGCTCGGGGAGGTGCAAATATAGAGGCGCATATGAATTAAGTGTGAATATAGACGTGCGTGCATCTATCTTTCTATTCTGGTCCATCTATGTGTCTATCTGTCTATCTACCTACCTACCTACCTATCCATCTATCTATCTATCTATCTATCCTATCCTCTCCTATCCGATCCTATCCTCTCCTCTCCTAGCCTATCCTAGCCTAGCCTATCCTATCCTAGCCTATCCTATCCTAGCCAAAATAATCCTATCTATCCTATCTATCCCACCATCTATCCCATCCCATCTATCCCATCTATCCCATCTATCCCATCTATCCCATCTATCCCATCTATCCCATCTATCCCATCTATCCCATCTATCCCATCTATCCCATCTATCCCATCTATCCCATCTATCCCATCTATCCCATCTATCCCATCTATCCCATCTATCCCATCTATCCCATCTATCCCATCTATCCCATCTATCCCATCTATCCCATCTATCCCATCTATCCCATCTATCCCATCTATCCCCTATCCCATCTGTCTATCTGTCTATCTATCTATCTATCTATCTATCTATCTATCTATCTATCTATCTATCTATCTATATACATATCGATCTATGAATCTGTCTGTCTGTCTGTCTGTCTGCCTGTCTGTCTGTCTGTCTATCTATTTGTGTTTGTCTATTTGTCTGTCAGTCCATTTATATATCTGTCTGTCTGTCCATTTGTCTGTCTGTCTATCTGTCTGTCTATCTGTCTGTCTATCTGCCTATCTGTCTATGTGTGCATCTGTCAATCTATCTATTTATCCGTGCATTTTCCTATCCATCTAGCTATCTTATCCTGCGCTATCCTATCTCGTCCTGATATCCTTTTTTCTCTTCTTGTCTCCTCTTATTTTTCTTCTTATGTGTTCTTCTTTTCTTTTGCCTTGTTTCCTTTTGTCTTCTTTTCTCTTATCCTTTCTTCTCTTCTCTTCTTTGTTCTTCTCTTCTATGTCTTTCTTGCTTTCTGTTTGCTTTTCGTTCGTTCATTCTTTCTTGCTTTCTTGCTTTCTTTCTTTCTTTCTTTTTCTTTTTCTTTTTTCCTCCCTTTATTTCTTTCTTCCTTTTGTTCGTTCGTTTCTTCTTTTTTCCTTCTTTCTTCCTGCTTCCTTCCTCCTTTCTTTCTTCCTTTTTTCCTTTGTTCCTTCCTTCCTTCCTTCCTTCCTTCCTTTCTTTCTTTCTTTCTTTCTTTCTTTCTTTCTTTCTCTCTGTATCTATCCACCCGTCTATCTATCCATCTATCCATCTATCCATCCATCCATCCATCCATCCATCCATCCATCCATCCATCCATCCATCCATCCATCCATCCATCCATCCATCCATCCATCCATCCATCTATCCATCCATCCATATATCCATCCGTCGATCTACCAGTCTGTCTGTCTGTCTGTCTGTTCTGTTCTGTTCTGTTCTGTTTTGTCTGTCTATCAGTGTATCTGTTTTTTAATCAATCGATCTATCCATATTGATCCATCTATTGATCCATCTTCTGATCCATCAATCCATCTATCCATCTATCCACCTATCCATCTATCCATCTATCCATCTATCCATCTATCCATCTATCCATCTATCCACCTATTCATCTATCCATCTATCCATCCACCCATCCATCCAATTGTCCAAGCCAGCCAGCAATCTGTCCATCCATCTCTCCATCCCTGCATCCATCGTCCATCTATCCATCCATTTACTCCATCTAAACTGTCTAATCTCTTTGATCCCTCTAATCCATTTATCTGCCTATCTATCTATTTGTCTGTCTGTCTGTTCGTCTTGCTGTCTGTCTGTCTGAGGGCCTGCCTGCCTGTCTATCTATCTATGTATTCACGCGGGTGTGTATAGGCATAACAGTTTTGCATGCATTTACAAAAATGTACATGAGTCGGGATGACATCTCACGAAGGATTCACGAATGATTTGCTTGGCCAGTTTGGGGCTTCCTCGGGGTTTTGGGGGCACGCTCTGAAGCTTGGATTGCGCCTTTTTCGAAGGCAAGATGCCCCCAAACATTTGGGCCACGAAGTCGTTTGCAATACAGGCATGTATTCACTGTCGACCCCGCTTCACCGACCCCTTGTGCCGACAGCTTGAGTGGCTAGTAGAGGGAGCTGGTTCACATTTTCTCTGGGCTCCAAGATGCTGCAAGGAGGAAAGTTGCCGGATTTATGTTTGTGACTTGCAATAAGGGCCTGGATCATGGGTTACAGTCACCTGCACTTGAAGCCATTGAACCGTGATGTGGGCGAGTCTCACATTGGAGACCCCCCCATTTTGGTTCTCCTTAAGGACGATTGTGCCAATCTTTGAAGGACGTCAAAAGAACATTAACGTCTTCTCGTTTCCGAAGTTTGGGCAAACCTCAATGCAGCAAACAGGCACCGTGTCAAACGCTTCTGAGTTACACCAGACGCATACTGTTGCTGTGTGTCTGTGTCGTCCGCTCGCCTGTGCTTAGATGGTAGCTCCTCTCCCAGTCCTTTTCTGTACCCGTCATGTTTGCCAGAGCAGCTGCTTCTCATCAACTAGCAGCAGGTGGCAGCAGGCAGCAGCCAGCCGCAAGCAGCAAGCAGCAATAGGCAGCAGACAGCGGCGGCAACAGCCAACAATCACTCGGTTGTGTCAGGCCGTTTTTGATTTGCCCGCACTGAGGCCTGTATGATTGGCTGAATCCTCGGCGCCTTTGATATGTGCTGGGCGTCACTGATGCCTCTTTGAATGCTTTGAGTCTTTAAGCATTATGCCATTAGCCTAGGCGGAAGTCGGAGAAGGGCAGGGCTTCATTTCAAGAGCACAAATGACCATCTTTTTGACAGCCACATAAAGCAACTGCATGGTAAACCGCTTGTAATATAAGGGAAAGCCAACCAGGCACATTCACACATTCAACTCCCAGTCTCAGCTACGGACTTGTATTTTGGGTCGTAAAGCAAGGTTTATCTTGTCTTTGGTTTGCCTTCAAAGCCGCCCAAGAAGGGTACTCTCCAAAGAGCCACCCCTGTTTCTGGCTGGTGGACGATTGATTGATTCCATTTGGATCTGTGGATTACGGGGGTTCAAAAGGTGCGCTTCTTTTCAGCGTCTTGAGCCAAATGGAATGTCGCCATTGGATCATCAGTTGTTTCACTGATAAGAGCAGATACTATTTATGTGAGTGCACATCCACACTCCCCCCGCGGCCTTTGCCGGACTTAGCCTGCTCCCAGTCTGATGACTCGGAGGCCGTTGCCTCTTCGTCGACTGGAAACGTTGTGACCGGCCCCGCATCAGCCCCGCGCCTGACCGGACCTCCTTGGGCATATCCACGACCAGGCTTGAGCAAGCTCGATGAAGGCCCCCCTTTCTCCTCAGTCATTCTGTTGTATCTTGGACTCCCCACCCTTGGAGGTGGATGCCCCTTGCTCGACCACTTCCTTCTTGAGGTCCGGTGTCAGGAGCATTCACAGGTCTCTCTGCCCTACACGATGGCTCCTCGGGCGAAGCTTTCTCAAGGGGGTGGCGACCAGACATCATCTGCCGTTGATGTCCGACATCAGTGGATGAATCACCGTGACCCAGTCCCCGAAGTGTAGAGATGCTGCTTCACCACCTGGTGGACGAAGATCCGGGAGTCCAAAGTTCCTCAAGGCCTCCAACATGTGGATTTCCGCCGCGCCTCGGAGGAGGTGGTGCGGGGCGGTGGTGGGGGCGGTGGTGGGGACGGGGCAATGGTCATCCTCGTTCCGCCACCAACCTCCTCATCCGGAGGTGGTAGAGTTGGACCCGCAAAAACCCCTCCGTGCGATACGACGCATCATCTCTGGTTCTGGCCGCCTGAAGCTTCAAGACCTCTCTCTCGAAGGTCTCCTCCGAATCCCGAATCACTCGTTCCAGCTCCCCGTCTGATACACGAGCAGGTGCTCGCTGACCCCCATGTGAGTTGAGTTGGCGTTTTCGAGAAGATGCTGGTTGGCTCATCGCCACCCTTCGCTGAACTTCTGGGCTCCAAAACGATTTCACACCGTGTTGGTCTGGAGAAGGTCCGGCACCTCCAGCATACATTGAAACGGGGCCAGCTGCCGGAGCCTCCCAGTTGCTGTACGGCTCCAAGGTTGCCTTGGCCTCAACTCCATACCGCCTTCAAAGTTCCCAGGGTGCATAGGATCTTTGATTGGCCGAAGGATGCCCTCCAGATAATCCCGAAACCTGCCTTGACCTTGAAGATCTCCGACTGATCCTTTGATGCCCACCAGATACTTTCTGGGGTTGCTCTTGACTTCTAGGATCTTCGACTGATCCTTGATTGGCCGAAGGATGCCCACCAGATACTCCTGGGGGTTGACCCTGGTCTTGAGGATCTCCCACCATCTCGGCTACGGCCTCCTGCCCAACGCCCATGGCCATCGCCCGGCCACACACCTCAATTGCCCCATGCGGTGCTGGAAACCTGATCGGGACCCCCCCGCGGTACTACGCTTAGCTCCATCATCCCTCCAGGGGACGCCGGTCCACCATGCAAAGGCTTCGCTTCCTCCTGGACCTGCGGCCTTGCCCTCCCTGAAAACCTCGCGCCGGCGCCAAGCGATCATGGCGAGCTTGGGCTCATAATCTATGGATTATATAGGGGGTTTCAAAAGGCGCGCTTGTTTTCAGCGTCTTGAGCCAAATGGCATGTCGCCATTTGAATCATCAGTTGTTTCACTGATAAGAACAGATACTATTCATGTGAGTGCACAGGTAGTCAATGCCCTTCACGAGCGGTTTGACGGCTTGAAGGATGCTGCTCTGACAACAAAAGTAATGAAGGGGAGGCAAGAATCAGAGGTTCACCCCCCCCCCCCCCGAACCATCAAATCAATACCGTCAAATGAGAATTGCCTGATTGCAGGGTTTGAAGACATGTTTCACAACTTACAACCAGTTTGAGTTGTTGAAGGAGGCGAACACGGAGCAGACTGTCCATCATTAGATTGGCGTACTTGACAATCAAGCGAAATACCGTGGACACAGTCACGCGGAAGGCAGTTTGCGTGTTCTGCAACGTTGTTTTTGTTTTTCGAGCCGGCAGTAATGAAACAGATGCAAGGAATGGGAGTTGTAAGTGAGTTTCTAGTCTTCCAGCCTATCTGTCAATCAATTTCCAATCTTTCCCTTTGGAGCGAATTCCTGAGATTTTGGCTGTTACATGTTATTTCTACTTTTCGTACTCGCGGATGTTGCTTCTTAACATCTTTTGGCCAATGTTGCGACAGTCTCTTTGAAAACACCCGACCTGGGGCCTACACAGGCCATGTTACGCCATGTGACTCGCACTTTGCCCACATTTCTTGCTGTTCGGTTTGAGGAAATTTGCACAGCACAAAGAACAGGGCCGGGTTTGCAGCAAAGCTCGTGCGCGGAATCTGTACTCTAGCCAGCCATTGCCAGTTCCCAATGACATGCAATGTCGGCAGGGCGCTACCCCCAGGAGACCCTAAAACGAGGTTTTTGAGGGAATTCCGCTTTGGTGAATGGCGGCAAAAAGGAGTTCCAGAAATGCTGCTTCCAGATGAACCCTAGCTGTTGTGGGCCTTGTTTAGCAGGGGGTCTTTGGTTGAAGGGGAATTCTCAGGAGCCACAACTGGGATGATTTGTTAATAAGCTCAGGTGATATCCCCAACAGCATGCGGTGCTCTTTCTAGTGCTCGCACCACCATGCAGAACCTCGTGGAACCCTCGTGGAACCCTGGAGGAACCCTGGTGGAACCCTGGTGGAACCCTCGTGGAACCTTACCTCAGGGCCGCCCCGGACCACCCCGGAGCCTATCTGGGCTGAGACCCCGAAGCTTTCAGCTGTTGGGGAATAAGAGAACACTATGCAAGAAAGCATCCCGACCTATTGCAACGTGAGATTGCAAGGGGTACTTTTTCTGTTTTGGTTTCGGTCACCCCCCCTAGTGTAAAAACTGTAACACATACGAACAAGGTTTCCTAATTCATGTTCTGATGTGTTTGTAGCGTTCAGTATGAGGCGGGTGCTCAGAAGTGAATGGTAAAGAGGCCAGATTTGAACGTAATCCATTTTGTGGCTCCAGTTGTATCCCGTTTTTCCAGCTGCCCTGTGAATGCCAACCACCGGCTCGGACGGCTTTTCAACATAGGGCCCCTTTGGTTTTCTTTTACATCGATAAATGCACATGAAAAGGGCTTTTTCAAGTCCTATTTTTATTTTTGAAAAGCGCTCACTTGCAAAGCTTCCAGGCTTCGCCACTGGGAAAAACGCTTGGGTTTGGTCTATATAAGTGTGACGTTTGACCCTGCTTCCTACCAGTGAAAGAGTGAAAGAACATGGGCTTGTCTTCACTTTTGAGAGCATCCCTTTCTGTTATACATGATCTTGAAATGCCCACATGGGGCACCAGACCCCGTCCCAGAGTCCACCCATCCAAATGGGTCTGAATTCCAGTTGAGGACCCATGACCGTTTGATGGGGATTACTATCCTTCTCAAACGATTTGTTTTGAGGATGTTCAAACCATTCAAAATAGTAGTATGAGCAACTGGCAATACTCGGTCTCCACTTTCTTTAACTTTTTTGCTTGAACATCAGGTAACAGAACCGCCAAGCGGCTGCAAATCCCTCCCCCTGACGGGGTCACCGAAAGCCAGGCAAGTTGGAGCGCGCTCTTTGGAGGCTGTTTTCTGGAGTGACAAAAACAACGGCAAGCCATGTCTTGTGAGTTTGCGGGTTCGTCCGTTCAATGCTTTGACCCATCTTTTGGCGCGAGATTCCGAATCAGAATGCGACTGCTACGTGTCGAGCTCAAGCTTGCCGGCTCGAACCTATCCGGGACGCCCTTCGCAAGCAAGCTGCACTAGCGGAAACAACTTAAGTTGACCGACTGCGAATGCGAACAAGTCATAGCGATCCAAAGGGTGCGGTCGTAGTTTGCTTACTGCGACCGCACCCTTTTGACCACCCTATATACTAAAGCAGGGCGGGTCCGCCAGGTTTGTTCGAGGCAGTCTCATTTTTGGAGGGGATCCTCCGCTTTTGGGAACACCCCGAAAGAGCCTGCCAGGTTGGTTGATCTGGGATTAACATGACATATATTGAGCATCCCGAGCTTTTGGCAGATTCTCACTTGCCCCTTCAAAAACCATCAAGAGTGATCCTAAGTTTTGCATACAATTTCAGCTGTTGCTTTCATAAGCCTCTTTACAAGCTGTTGTTTTTCTTTTGAGTCCCTTGGTGGCAGGGTACTTGCCCTCTTTCCAAGAATGGAAGCTCACCGGTTTTGGAAGAATACCATCCTCTTGACAAGGCCTCTTGTCAATTTTCTTGATTGGGAAAAGGATATCTTGAGTGAGAACCTGAGTCCGGTGTGAAGCTTCCAAAGGGCGTCCCGAGCGTAGAACCTGAGCTTTCCGTAGGGCGTGTCGTGGTGCGATGCGCGTTGCAGATGTGGGAATGGGGTTGAACCAGCAAAACGGAAGCCGAGTGCTGGGGGGGTTTGACTTGAAAGGCAGCTCGTTTCTGTTTGGACGCTGCCGCGCTGCTTCTTGATCTTGATGGCGGTAATTGTTTTTTCCGTGTTTGAGAGCTTTTGTTTTTCTCAGAAGCTCGGTGCATTGGCAGCTAGGTGGGCCCTTTGCAAGACGGATCTTGCTTTGCCTATTCGCCGCTGTCGCGTTTTTGCGAAACTGTCCAATTGTTGCTGAGTTATATCTTTGGCACTTTTGGACTCCTCCGAACCCAGAGATACAGCTGAGATTTCGGCAAAGCATGGTGACTGAGTGCCCGGCATGATTGCAGCCAGCGGCAGCTCCTCCAACAGCTGGAGGCTGGGCATTTTCATCATTTAGAAGAGGCTCTCAATGATATGCAATTGTTGTTGATAGTGGGTGCCATCCCCAAGGTTGATGCTCCCACAGAATGAGGTGACTGCCTGTCAACCGAGGGCGAGAGGTTGATCAATCACCCGTGTTCCCGTCATTCAGGCACTCTTTCTGTTTTGGATTTATCGTTCGGGGAAGTTTAGCAGGCGGCCTTTTGTGGAACAACATGCAAGGCGGCACGGCCACGGTATGCAAGATCTGAGTTGCAGTTTCAAGTGACAAGGGACGCAGAACACGTTGAAGCCACTAGCATTTCTTTCACCTCCAAGACACGGCCCTTCAGGAAGATTGTCCTTCAACTCTTTTATGTGAGGCTGACTTGAAGGTTTGCAGTGAGACTTCAGTGACATCCAACAGCTCAGTCTTTTTCTCCTTTTCTTCCAAAGAACTTCCACCCCACATGCGGGTCCTCCCCGATCCCGATCTTCAAGAAGCCGGCTTCTGCCTTCTGGCTCGAGCTCAGAGCCGGTGCAGGTGGCTTACTGCACACATAAAACGACCCTATGCGGTTTTCGTAACAACCCACGACCCCATGGTATAAAAAGACAAAAAAAGAAAATAAAAGAGCATGCTTGGTGGTTGTGTCCCTTGGAACCGTTTGACAAAGAGGATGCCGTCCGGGGTTTGGATGCAAGTTAGGAAACAAATCCAATAGCAACATGGTATCGGGTACCCCGATTTCTCCACAGTCAATCATCCGAAACGGAAGCCCCTTTTGGCCAAACCCGCCTAAAGGGGTACAGCTGGCTTTGATTCCATCCTGCCGCCGGGGGAAAAAACACCGACTCGAATCCATGGCTCCCTCCCCACTGCCTGAGCTCGCCATCGCGGCGCGGAGCCCAGTGTCCTGAAGAATTGGGAAGGCGTTGGTTTGGTTTTCCCAGGTGTGGTTGTCCAAACCGTTTTGGGATCCCATTTTGGTTGGGTTTTCGGGTAGGTGAATGCACCACCCATTTTAGAACCTATTTTAGTGGCGATTCACTGGGGGCACGATTTGGATTTTGACCCATGGCCATGTGGCGGTTTGGGGTTCGAGTGAACCCCTTGTGGACTTGTGGAGGGTACAGGGCAAATGGGAACCCCCCTGACCTCACCAACCGCCACGCAATCAAGGCTTTCCGCGGATTCATCATCAACGCTGTATACGCATACACGTACATTTACGTACGTACGTACGTACATACGTACATACGTACATACGTACATATGTACATACGTGCGTACGTACATACGTGCATACATACGTACGTACGTACGTATGTACGTATGTACGTACGTACATACGTACGTACATACGCACATACATACATACATGCATGCATACATACATACATACATATCATATATATATATACACATACATACATACATACATACATACATACATACATACATACATACATACATGCATGCATGCATGCATGCATGCATACATACATACATACATGCAACATACATGCACGCATACATGCATACATGCATACATACATACTTACATACATGCATACATATATGCATACAGAAATACAGACAGATATGCATACCGACATACATGCGTACATACATGCATGCAGACACACACACACACATACAGTACATTACATTGCATTACATTGCATTGTATTACATTACATTACATTACATTGCATTGCATTGCGTTACATTATGTTTCAATACATTACAATACATTACATTATTTTATATTACATTGCATTACACTACATTACATTGCATTGCATTACATTAGATTACATTACATTACATTACATTACATTACATTACATTACATGCATATATATATATATATATCGTTTTGTGTGTATATTTATACATGTATGCGCTTGTGGCTCAATGGGTACCCTGGTCCCTCTTTTGCAAGAAACCAATCGTTTTTCCATCAATTTGTGGCTTGATGCTCAAAGATGGGGGTTAAATCGCACATCGACCGCTGAACCGCCTGCCGAAACGAGGCTTTGGTGGACATCCCGGGCTCTTGCTCGGCCGGGGGCTCCTTTCGAGACATGGGATGGGTGCCTTTTGGTTTCCCATTGTCAGAAGCCTCCCAGAGACCCCCAAAAACACCGGAACCCTATAGGCCCCCTAGAGGCTGTGTCAGCTGCAAACAACCCCTCTGTGAAATGATGCGCACTTCGTGACTGCGTGTAGATTCAATTTGCCCGCCACAATCTCATGCCATCACATGAGCGTGTCTCCCAGTCGGATGTGGACCTCCCAAAGGGTTCTCCCTTTAATTTCTCTTTCAAAAGACGTGGCAAAGGGGTGTGCCTTCTTGTAGGCTGACCAACTTGTTCATTTACTAGGCCTGGTCGATATGTGACTTGGCTTAGTGCTCAGGACCAGGACCTCATTGCACTGCTGACGGCGAATGCCTGCGACGGCCTAAGAGCAGATGAG